AACAATATAAAGGACATTTTGAAAATGCTACTACACAGTAAAATCACCAGTGTTAAATCAACTCTATAAGTGTTAAAATTAACACTTTTGCAGTGTTTATATAATTCTCTCTGGTCAGTGTTAATTTAACTCTCATTCCAGTGTAAGGAATTTAACTATATCTCAGTGTTGTTCAATCTACTCAGTTAGTGTTAAAGAAGAAACTCTTAATAGTGTTGTTTTAACTCTTACTAAAGGTCAATCGTTTAGTCAGGAGAGTAAATAAGTAACTCTAATTAGTGTTGTTTTAACACCATACAAGTGTGATTCATATCTACAAAGAGTGAATAAAAAACCCTGACTGGTGCAGATTTAACATTTATTATGGGTTCATCATACATATGAAGAGTGAAAGCAAACTGCACAGTGTTAACATCAGTCCTTCATCCATTGGAATGAAAATTTGAAAAAAGTCTAATAAGTTGACATTTTAGTAACATTTCTGGACAAAAAAATTTCAGTTAAAATTTTCTTGTCTTAAGGGTTCAAAATGTTAATAAATCAAATCTACACATATTTTACTTTGATGTATTTTACTTTTTCCTTTATTTAACAAAAAAAAAATCTGGGCTTTTTAAACAAGCCTCACCTCAGGCTTCAGAGCCATCAGAATCATTATGAAACTGTCCTCAGAATGTCAACAATAGAAACATTTTGCATTTGACTAAATACAACTTAACTTACTGCCTGTAATTACACACAGACATAAATCAAGTATAAAAGTCTATATCAAACAATGGAGAAGCACCACATATATGCTGTCATCTGGTCCATATGAACACTGAAGATCAAACGGTCCATAAAAACGCAAACTCTGCAACTCAATGACAGCTTCTTTTTCTTCTCCATCACATAGAGTAAAGGCATGGTAATGCTCATTGAAAGAAAGTGTTACCAGAGGATTCACCAGAAAATAGATACTATCACACATCAAAAGAATTTGTGTGATTCTGGAAAAGACTGGAAGCTCGTGTTGTATCTCATTACAAACAATAAGACCGATCCGATATTCTGCACCATCAATTTTAACCCAATTAGTGCAACAGACATTTTCATGTTGTGGAATTGAAAGAGACATAACAAATTCATCAACAACACCAGACTCTTCAAAATGGTACAAAGACATTGGACCATATTCTTTGCGTTGAAATGTCAGTGTGTCCCAATTATACCCAACAGCCATCTGGTGTTTTTTGGCTAAAGACTTGGTGATGTTTTTAAAGTTTTTGAGAGTGTTTTTGAAAAGCTTATGCTTTGCCTCAAATCTCATACTCCAAGTGTGCAAAAGAGGACCAATTTTCCTAATACATGAGGGATAATGTATCATAAAATGATGTTTGGGTATTAAATTTCGGTCTGGGTACAATAGCTTAAAAAGTTGGTGATGTTCATGAATTAAGTGCTTAAGTACTACAGTCATCCCATAAGTAATGCTTGGTGAAAAAATAATGTTCATTATTTGTAACAAAAGAAGCAGCAAGTTCCAGTTTTGATTTGAAAGTGGAACAACATCCCCAAACAGCAAGGGGGTGTTCCTTACAAGGCATAGAGTTTGAATTGAATTCAAGCCCAAACTGTTTCCAGTGTGGTCCAAGTTCACATTTGTTGGACGGTTTTTACGTTCCATGTAACCATAGTCATATGAATTGATACGTGAAAGAAGCTCTTGTTTTGAGAGAAAATGTTCAGTCAAATAGGCAAACAACAACCTGAGCTCATACTGAGCCACACCTTCAAGGACATCATGCATGATGTCAAAGGAAAAATTGCTGCACACATGAAAAAACTGTAAGGTGTTTAATGCTGAATTTCTCTTGACCCCATAAACATTGTTAAGCTGTGGGTCTGATTGAAGAGTTTCACAATGCATTTGGAAACTTTGCTCATCACGAATTATGACCCTGTGATCATCCTCGCAAAATACATCTTGAGCATCCCATTTACTTATCAAACACAATCGACAAAAATAGCGGCTACTGAAGGACTCTGTAAAGCCAAGAATTGAGTGAAGTCCTAAGTTATCGCCTGTAATTTGACATATTGTTCCATAT